TACACCCTGAGCAGCTCCGAGTTCACTCAGACCAGCTCCTGGAAAGTTGGCAGAGAGGCCGGGAGCCTGAGGTGCGGGCACAGAGGCCTGCCTGGCCCAGGACAGCACTGCCAGGAGGCCAGGGATCCCGGCAGGTGTGGGGAAGGGAGGCTTTGGAAGGCAGCTCCCTGGCCGCCTCCGGGGGACCTCCCGCACTAACTCTCCCGGTGCCACAGCCTCTGGCCATTCCACGGCTCCCTGCGCGCCTGCCGCATGGTGGCGGGGACACGGCAGTGAGCGAGCAGCCCAGGGAGCCAACGTCGAGGCCAGGGTGCGGGGGAGGGGGACAGCCCTCTCAGTCAGATTCAGGCCTGCGGGGACGAAGCCCAGGCCGTGGAACTGGGGGGTCCCCTCGCCATGGGCCCTCCCCTGCCTGCGTCGCCCCATGAGCGCTGCCCCCTCTCACCACGGCTTGGAGCCGCCGCACAGCTGGCTCTGCTGCACCGTCACTGAGGCCTTTTCCGGTGCCGCTGCATTTGCCAGAACGGGCTGCACCGGGACCCGAGCACAGGCGGCCGGCCGCCTCCGGGGACCAGCCACGGCCTGCGCTCTGGAGGGAAAGGCTGTGTGAGCCGCCAGGCCCAGGAGCACCTGTGCAGCAGGGCCACGCGGCCGGCCAGGTGTGAGGCGGGGCCCCGTGACCTGTGGGCCACCTGCACTCTCCCTCCCAGGACCCCGAGGAGCACTGCCAGGCCGGACGGGCTCAGGCGCCAGCTGGCATCGCCAGGACAGAGCAGGAGCCAGGCCAACAGCTTCCTGCCCGCCTGGCCTCTGAGGGGTCACCTGTCTCTCTGAGCCTCAAGGCTGGTTAAGATCGTCCTCCTCTTTGGCTCAGTGGACAGGACATCGGTCTGCACACCGAAGGGTCGTGAGTGCAATTCCGGTCAAGGGCATGGACCTCGGTCACAGGCTCCTCCTGGTCAGGGCACATGCGGGAGGCAACCAATCGATGCGTCTCTCCGCCTCTTCCGTCTGACAACCAATGGGAAAGGCCGTCAGGGGAGGATTGACAGCCACCCCAGAAGGCCTTCCTCCCCGTGCTGTGGAAGGAGAGGGAGAGCTTCTGGAGTCTTCTGCTCCTGGGGGGCCGCCTTGGTGCAGAGGGAGAGGCGGAGACGTGGGAGGAGAGGACTCGGGAAGCAGACCAGGTCCAAACCCCGGCTCTGCCCCTGCCAGCAGTGCGGCCCGGGGGTCTGAGCTTCCATCCCCTCCTCCATGAGACGAGGGCGTGCTGGGCAGCGGTGAATGATGGTGCAGGGGCTCCCACGGCTTCTGTGCGCCGGGAGCCCTGCTTCTCATCTCCCCCGTCAGAGGTCGCAGGAGCTGTGCTCATCCGAAAGCTTGACCGGGGCTGGAGGGCCACTTCCAGGAAGGCTCCCAGGAGGCTTGTGCAGGAGGCCTCCCCCACGGGCTGCTCCAGGGGCCTCCCGTGGCAGCTGCCTCCCCCAGAGGGAGTGACCGAGAGAGAATGAGCCCGAGGAGGCCAAGTGCTTTCTAAGCCCCGCCCCCCGGGCCCCGCACTCCTTCCCTTGCGGGGTATAGAGGTCGGCCGCATTTGGAGCGGGAAGGGACCATAAAGGACATGGGGATCTTGGAGACCGCCTTCCCAGTGCCACAGCTTGTCTGCTTGCTCCTCTGTGGAATGGGGACCCTCCCTCCTCAGCGCTGTCAGTGCTCCGGACAAGAGGGGCCCAGAAGAGCCGGGCCCAGCATGTGCCTCCCGCTCCCCCAAGGGCAGCCTCCGCTGTGCCCCCACCTTTGGTCCAGGAAGAGCCAGAGGGACCAGCCACCGAGGAGCCTGCTGGGCCCTCCTTCCAATGAGCAGAAACTGGAACAGCACTGCTTCCCCGCCCCTTCTGCTTAAGGTTTAAACACCTAATTTATTCCATCCATTAGATAGATTTTGTAGATTTAATCATTTTCACAGTTGGTGGCTCATTGGATACTCAAGATAAACTCCGAATGGAAGTATAATGGTGAGGACAAATGAGTTTTCACACCACAATGGCAGAAACTTGCTTGGGCAGAGAGTTTAAGAGGCACAAAAATACATACAGATATAATTTTTCCCCGGCAGCTGCTTTTGCTGACTATAGTAGGTTACCACAGTTAATTTCACCAGTTTTGTTCATCTGTAAAATTGCATAAAAGTGACATTTTTGTGCTCATTATAGCAACTGCTGATTTATGGCTGGAAAGCGAGGAGCTGGCCCCTTTTCTCGGGCCTCTCCGAGCGGTGCTAAGTGCCCATGAAATTGCTTGTATAATGTAGTTTAAGTCCAACCCCAGAGAAAGATTCCCGCCGGCCAAGTGACATTTCCATTCTCCACACTGAGCTTACTTTAGGCACTTAGGTGGGGGCTGCCCCTGGGTCCAGACGGGGCCCCTGGCCACTCGCCTGTCTGGCCAGGTCAGGCCCGGGGTACAAGCACACTGCTCCAGCCTCCTCCAGCGCCGCCCACCTCTCCCCTTCCTACTGCCTGGCCCTCCCCTTCCCTCCCTGCTGCCCGCCTCTCCTCTCCCTGCTGCCCGCCTCTCTCCCTGCTGCCCGCCCTCTCCCCTCCTCTCCCATCCCCTCCCCTCCCTGCTGTCTGCCTCTCCCCTCCCCTCTCCTTCCCTCCCCTCCCTGCTGCCCACTTCTCCTCTCCCCTACCTTCCCTTCCCCTCCCCTCCCCTCCCTGCTGTCCGGCCCAGCAGGCCCCATCCTTGCACCAGGAAGGGGGTGGGCAGAGTGGATGGCCTTCCTAACGTGCTGCCCGCCCTGCACTCCCTGCTGACCCTCCCTGGCTGCCCGGAGTGGGGGCCAGCCTCTGCCCGCACTGCTGGCCCTCAGGCCCTGACAGTCTCTGTGGGGGCTGTGCTGTGCATCGCGGACGTTCAGCAGCCCCTCTCCCACCAGATTCCAGTAGCAGCCCCTCAAGGTGTGACATGGAGTGCAGCTCTGGACCTCAGCAGCGCGCCCTGGGCCGGACGCTGTGAGAGCCGCTGCCCTTGGCGAGGAGGCCTCTCCGTGCGGTTCAGCCCGAGCACGGCCTCTGCACACGGCTCTGGCTGCTGCCTCCCCATTACTGACAGTTCCCACCGCATCTCCCTCCCTCGCACCCCTTTCACCACGGCCTGAACTGGGTGCCCTTTCTTCCAAAAGTCATCTCTGGCCCTAACCAGTTTAGCTCAGTGGATAGAGGGTCGGCCTGCGGACTGAAGGGTCCTGGGTTCGATTCCGGTCAAGGGCCTGTACCTTGGTTGCGGGCACATCCCCAGTGGGGGGTGTGCAGGAGGCAGCTGATCAATGTTTTTCTCTCATCGATGTTTCTAGCTTCCTGTCCCTCTCCCTTCCTCTCTGTAAAAAAAATAATAATATATATATAAGATATATATATAGATATATATAGATATATATATAGATATATATATCTATATCTATATATATATATATATTTTTTTTTTAAGGCACTTCTGGAGCCCAGCTGGGTTGGCTCCCCAGCGCCCCCCACTGCCGGCTCCCCACCAGAGCATGCGTTTGCCCACATTGGCTGTGGGCCCGGAGGGGCCGTGGTGAGGCTGTGGGAGGGCAGCCACAGCGCCAGGCCCACCTGCGCCAGGCCCGCCCCTCTCTCTCCCAGAAGGCCTGGCGCAGGCCGGGAAGGAATGATGCAGACATGGAGAGCACCCGCTTCTGCTAATTCCACTGCCAGCAACTCGTCAAACCTCACAGCCTCTGGGAGGCAGTGTCAGCAGCACCCCCATTTTACAGATGTGGAAACTGAGGTGCCGGGTGGTGAAGGCCCCTCCTGAATCCCCCTGGAGGCACTGGTGGTCCTGGGCGCGCGCACAGGACAAGAAGGCAGTTGGCCTCTGAAACTTTGTAGGGTCTCCCCCGTCCCCCAAGGGCCCGGACAGGTCCCCATCTCCCAGCACCTACTGTGCGCCTCCCCAGCTGGGCCCCTTGCTACAACCCAAGTCACCCTGCAGACCTGGCACGATCTTTATTCCATTCCACAGGTGGGAAAACTGAGGCTCAGCTTTGCAAGCTACTTGCACAGGCCACACAGCCCTACAGCCAGGCCAGCCAGCTCCCAAGCCCGGGCAGGGTCTTTCTGTCCCCCGGGGCAGGCCCCTGCCTCAGACAGGGCCCTGGCAGCACTGAGGAGTGTCTTGGGACCGGGTGAGGCTCTGGGTGGGAGAAGGGGTCGGCCCACCGCGACCTGCCTCCCCGTGGCGGGCCGGTTGTGCCCGCGGTGCACACAGCGCAGTTCACAGACACGGTGGCGGCTTCGCAGGATGGGGCTGGGCAGCCAGGGCGCTGTCCCTCACGCCTGCTGACTGGACAGGACACGGGGCGCCAGGTGCACGCCCGCAGCGGCCCCTCCCGCCAGGCCGGCTCACAGACCAATGCCCTGAACCCCGTTTGCCGGGTGAGGGAACGGGGAGCAGGCGTGCGCACCCACAGGCTCTGTAACAAAGTCAGCACCGAGCGCGTGGGCGTGGAGCCGGGCACTCCTGGGCTCTGCCGGCGGCATGTGCCTAGCTGTCTCCTGGGCAAACTGGGGGCCCTTTTCTCCTAAAGCTGAGCATTTGCCTCCCCGTGTCCCAGCGGCTCTGTCACGGGCACGATCCCTACAGAACTCACTGACCACACAGGCCGGCCCGAGGGCCGCCGAGTCAGCCCCGACTTGCGGGCACAATGCCAGTGCCACCCGCACCACCTCACCAGGAGCACCAGGTGCTGGTCCTCAGTGAGCAGGCGGGCCGGCGACTGGGAGGGGCCAGGCCTTCGGGACACTGGCCACGCCCTACCCTTGGCCCCAGGCATGGTCACAGGAGGAGTCCGACTCCTTTCCTTACACTCCACGGAGCTTAACAGCACAGGGGAAGGAGGGGCGGTGGGCGTGGGGGCAGCTCCAGGCCTCCCATGCCACTGCTCAGTGCTCACTGTGCTTCCCTCTCCTCCTGTCCCCCAGGCGAGACGGTGGCCAGCTCCATGCATTCCTCCCGCTACCCGAGCCCGGCCGAGCTGGACGCCTACGCTGAGAAGGTGGCCAACAGCCCGCTGTCCATCAAGATCTTCCCCACCACCGTCCGCGTGCCGCAGCACAAGCACCTGGGCCGTGCCGTCAACGGCTACGACACCTGCGGCCAGCGCTACGGCCCCTACCCGCCGCCCGCCGGCCACCAGGGCCTGCTGGCCGTGGTCAAGGCCGCCGTCTCCTCCGCCGCCGCGCCCGCCGCGCCCGTCAAGGGCGTGCTCAAGAGCGCCGAGGGCAAGCGGACCAAGCTGTCGCCGGCCGCCGTGCAGGTGGGCGTCGCGCCCTACCCGGCGCCCGGCACTCTGGGGCCCCTGGCCTACCCCAAGCCCCCAGAGGCGCCCGCCCCGCCGCCCGGCCTGCCCACGGCCGCCGCCACGGCCGCCGCCGTCATCCCCCTGCCCGGCCGCGGCCTGGCCCTGCCGCCCTCCAACCTGCCCTCCATCCACAGCATCCTCTACCAGCTCAACCAGCAGTGCCAGGCCCCGGGCGCGGCCCCCGCCGCCTGCCAGGCCGTGGCCGTGCCCCAGCCCAGCCCGGCCAAGCACGGCCTGGTGCCCAGCTTCCCCAGCCTGGCCTACTCGGCCGCCGGCCTGCCCGACTGCCGCAGAGGCGCCGAGCTGGGCCCGGGGAGCGCGGCCTTGACCTTGGCCGGAGCCGCCAAGCCGGCGGGGTACGTGGACGGCAGCCTGGACTACCTGCTGTGGCCGCAGAAGCCGCCCCCGCCGCCGCCCCAGCCTCTGCGGGCCTTCAGCGGCAGCGCGGCGGCCGGCAAGTCCCCGGAGGCTTGTGGGGGGCGGGCGTACGAGCGGCCGGCCGGGTCCCCGCTCACCTGCGGCGTGGGGCTGCCCGGCCTCGCCGTGGGCCAGTACTTCGCGGCGCCCTGGAACAGCATGCTGGTGACGCCCACCAGCGACGGCTACAACCCGGCGGGGGCCGCGGCGGAGCTGGGCCCCGGGGGCGCCCGGGAGCTGGGGGCGCCGCCCGCCGAGGCCCTCCCGGGCCTGCCCAGCAGGGGCGCCTGCGGCTCGGCGGCCCTGAGCAGCAGCCTGCAGTCGCTGGAGTATCTCATCAACGACCTGCGGCCGCCCTGCATCAAGGAGCAGATGCTGGGCAAGGGCTACGAGACGGTGGCGGTGCCCCGGCTGCTCGACCACCAGCACGCCCACATCCGCCTGCCCGTCTACAGATAAGGCCCGCCCGGCGGCGCAGACGGAAGGACGGACAGGGCGTCGGCGGGAGGCGGGCGAGGACAGCGGCCCAAGGGCAGGGGCCCCGGGTGCCACCGGGAAGCCGGGCTGGCCGCTCTGGGTCCGTGGAAGTCTGGCAGGTGGCCTGGCTCACCGAGGCCCCGCCCCCCACATCAGCGGGGGGGGGGGGGGGGGGGGGGCCAGCACGGGGAGGGCCTGGCCGAGGGCAGGGAGAGCCCCACCTTCCTGCCGTGTTCCTCTGGCTCTCCGGAGAGGAGCTCGGGCCAGGGCGGGAGCAGGAAGACATGTGGGCTTAGGTCAGGGGGCCCCATACACGCCCCGGGCACCTGGGGAAGCGGCAGAGGAGTCAGCGGTCCCGCAGGGCCCCCCACCAGCCAACCCAGGTGAATGCCACTCATGGGGGCTCCAGGGACCACCGGCCCCCCTTCCCCTCCTTAGGCTCTCCTCCCCTCCCCCACTCCTTCCCAACACAGAGAAGCCGCACCCCATCCCCCTTCCCCACCCCGGGCTCCCGCCCCCTCCCTGCTCTCCGGCGCCCCCTGGGGCTGCTGGCACAGCGTGGGCCTCACCGCACAGGGCACCTCGTCTGGGAAGATGCATCGCCCCCAGATGTGTGTCTGTGAGGGGACCTCCCTGAGCCTGAGGCGGGTGCCCTCCCCATTCGCACAAGGGCCCCCACACCATCAGGGCGAGGGAGGCGGCAGGGCCCGGGCCCGCCCCCCGCCGGCCCCTGGCCCCGGAAGCGGTACTGTATCTCTCCAAGGCCTGTCCAGCACTAAGTGCATTTACAAATCTCTGAGAATGTTTTTTATACGGAAATTGACCATTATATTCTACTGTGAGAAGTGCCGTCTGCACTGTATTGTTTTAAAAACGAAGAGGAAGGAGAAAAGGAAAAGGTGGCGTCTGCTGTGGATTGTTCGGCACTTTCTCTTCCCCCCAGGAGTGGAGCGTGCCCCCCGCAAGCCAGACCCCTGCCCCACGCCGCCTTGCTGCCCCTGCCCCCAGGCCCCTGCCCCCAGGCCCCGGTCGGTTGCCTTGTCCGCGTGAGCCACGTGGTCAGGCCCAGGTCCCTCTGCAGAGCGGCAGAGACAGCCCCCCCCCCCCCCCCGGGGCCGAGGCTCCTCCCGGAACCGTACGGAGGGGTCTGGGCGGGGTCCCCCCGCCACTAAGCCCCTTCCCAGCTCTCCTCTGTGTCCTACGTGGTCCCAGCTTCCACAGGGACACGTGTGGCTGGGACCGGCCAGCGTGGCTGGGACCGGCCAGCGTGGCTGGGCCGTGGCACCTCCCCGGGCAGCCCAGCACACCCGCCCCGCGCCCTGGTGCCTGGCGACCCCCCACCCGAGGGCTCAGCCTGTTTCAGCACTTCCTGTGCTGGGCATTTCACAGCCCGCGTCTCACTGGGCCCCACCACCCCGAGAGGAAGACACGGGCTCGGAGAGGGGAAGTGACCTGCCTGCGGTCACACAGCAGGTCTGCAGAAAGGGGGTTCGGACCCACAGCAAAGACTCCTCCTCACATCCATCCTGCCTCGGCCAGCAGCCTGCAGCCGGCACCAGGCAGAGGGGGCCTCCCCTCCCTGAGGCTGCACCCGGTCAGGCCCCGGCCCATGGAGCTCCCCTGGGTGCCTGGCCTGTGAGGCCCTGGCAGAGGTGGGGGCAGAGGGAAAGCCCAGGCCCCTGAGCCTGGCAGCACGTGGAAATGGAGGCTCCGAGAGGAAGCGGCCACATTCGGGGGGACCCAGGATCTGAGCTGGGTCATGCCACCCCTGCCCAGGAACGGGGTCCGCAGAGTGCTGGGCTGGGCAGGGCCGGGTGGGCAGGGCCAGGCCGGGCTGGGCTGGGTAAGGCCAGGGTGGGCAGGGCTGGGGTGGGCTGGGCAGGGCCGAGCTGGGCAGGGCAGGGCCGGGGTGGGCAGGGCTGGGCAGGGCTGGGCTGTTCAGGGTAAGGGCAGGGCCGGGGTGGGCAGGGCCGGGGTGGGCTGGGCTGGGTAAGGCCGGGGTGGGCAGAGCCAGGCTGGGCAGGGTAAGGCCGGGGTGGGCTGGGCTGGGCTGTTCAGGGTAAGGCCAGGGTGGGCAGGGCAGGGCCGAGCTGGGCAGGGCTGGGCTGGGCTGGGCTGGGTAAGGCCGGGGTGGGCAGAGCCAGGCTGGGCAGGGTAAGGCCAGGGTGGGCAGGGCCGGGCCGGGCTGGGCAGGGCCGGGTGGAGGCCACAGGAGGATAAAGGGATGTAACTGCAGCTGTCGGTGCTTTCTGACCTCACAACACCCCTCCCGGGTGTGAACTAAAGCCACCCCTCCCACCACCTCCTCCCGACGACACAGAAGGGGGCACAGCTCTGCTATCAACCCCACACCCCCATCAGGCTGCCTCCATCTTCAGACGGGCGAAGCCGCTGGGGCCATCACAGGCCGGGCCTGGAGGCGGCCAGCCCCCAGCCTCTGCAGTGAGGCTGCGTCTGATGCTGTCGCCCTGAGCCGTCCCCTCCAGCCAGGCCAGCCCCAGGGCCGCCTCAGCACCCCATGGCCTCAGGGTGGCCCACCCACACTGGGGATCGGGAGGAGGAGGAGGAGAGGACGGAACCGCCTCCAGGGGCCTCAGGTGGGCCAAGGACCCCCTGTCCATCCTGGGACACCTCACCCTCTGCCGGCACGCAGGGTGGTGGGGACCCAGGCCCAGCTGGGGTCCCGGCTGTCCTGGCAGAGGCCTGGGTGCATGGCGGCAGGTTTCTTCTCCCTGGGACGGAGCCAGCTGATCCAAACGGCCCCCAGCACCACCCGCCCCGCCCTCATGCCGTCTGTCCCTCTGAGTACCACACGGGGCACAGCCGGTGAGCATGAGTACCACACCGGGCGCAGCCGGTCAGCGTGCTGCCCGCCACAGCCAGCAGCCAGTTCCCTCGGGCAGGGGCACCGCCCAGTGCACAGCGAGTCCTCCCTGAGCCCCGGGTTCTGCAGCTTCCCGCAAACCGGTGTCAGGAAGCCACTGTCACAAGCCCTGGTGCAGACGTACGCTCCTACCACCTCACCGACCCTGACCCAGCTGGCACGTCCCTGACCCAGACCACCCTGCGGAGGGGGGGCACGGCGTGCGCCTTAACAGGGGCCAGCGGCACGGAGGGTGAGAGGCCGGAGGGCAGTCCAGCACAGCCAGGGGGACGGGGCGGGGGGGGGGGAGAGGGCGAGAAGTGGCCCAAGGTGGTCATGTGGCTCCAGAGTCCGGGTCCAGGCTGTGAGGACTTCCTGCTGAAAGAGCAGAGGGGGACCTGCACCCCGACAGCCCCCAGCCCAGCCGCCATCCTCCTCTCCCCCCCGCCCTCCCCTTCTCCGCTCCCCTCCGCACACCTGGAGCCGAGCTGGCCACCCGGGCCTGTGGCTAGCACGTGACCTCCCCAATCACCACAACTGCCCGGCTGAGACCTCGAAGCTGCCAGAGGCACAGGCTTTGGAGCCTCCCAGAGGCACCCACACAGGGCACCCCCTTCTGGGCGCCTGGTCTTCTTGGCTCCATCCCAGCCTCAGAGTGCTCCCTGCTTCTGGGAGGGGAGCTCAGACCAGCTCGACCCCTGCCTTCAGTGACTGCGAACTCTGCTCCCAGAGGCCCCTGGGATCCCGCACCCCGCACCCCGCACGCTGCACTGCGCCTGCGAGTTCGGCTGTCTTAAAGGGCCCAGGCGGTCCCCTACCCCCCCCCCCCCCCGTCCTGGCCGCTGGAAGATGGAGCCTGGCCAGTGCGGTGGGCGAACCTGGTGCCCGAAAGATTTTGTTTCAATCACCATCATCACCAGCTCGCTGGAGAGTGGCAGGAGGAAGAGGAGGCAAAAACCTGGCCTCCGTGTGGCCAGATCACACTGAGCCTCAATGCTTTTTTTATTTTTTATTTTTATTTCAGAGAGGAAGGGAAAGGGAGAGAGGTAGAAACACCCATGATGAGGAAGAACCTTGGACCAGCTGCCTCCTACACACCCCCTACAAGGGATGTGCCCTGACCAGGAATCGAACTCTGACCTCCTGGTTCATAGGTCGACGCTCAGCCACGGAGCCACCCAGGCTGGGCTGAGCCTCGATTCGTGGTTTGTCAAAGGGCGTGGTGACGCCTGCAAGGGGTCCGGGTGACACGGGACCGGGATGACGGGAACGGGTCCTGTGAGGGCCGCCCCCCCGCACTGCCCCTCGCACTGTGGCGTGGCCGCCCTCTGTGAATCCCACGTGGGTTCAGCGTGGGAGTCGGCGGTCAGTCCCTCAGGGCCTGTCTGAAGAAGATGCCCTGAGCCAGCGCATCTCTGTCAGCACCCAGGCCCACCTTGGAAGGCGGGTTTCCGAGTCAGACGCGTCTGAGAGCTACATTCCGAGCCTCCTCCCTCCTGGGAGAGGCACCGGCTGCCTCCGCAGGGAAGGCTCTGAAAGTCCTGCAGGCAAGACGCCTCCACTGTAGCCCGGCATCTCCCACCTCTGACCTAAGTGTTCGTGTTTTCCCTGTAATTTCCCCGGAATAAGCCGGGCTTCAGACGCGCTAAGTCCCACCTCTGGAACAGGGACTTGTCCCTGCTCCTGCCTGGGTCTCAGTTCCCCCCATTGCACCACGAAGACTCCTAATGAGTTTGCAGCAGAGCAAGGCCTGGAATCCAGCCCTGACCTGGAGTCGGGCCTCAGTGCTGGGGCCACCGCACCCTAAATGGTCTTCATATACCGGTCAACCTCGGCCCAAAGGGAGGGAAAGACCCCTGGGGAGAGAAAGGGGGCCCTCATTGGAGAAGTGGGAATGAATACCCCTATTTTGAAAAAGAAAAGTGAGGATCAGAGAGGGATGGCAACTTGCCCAAGGGCACACAGCAGCTACCCAGAGGCAGATCTAGGCAGCCTCCTCTGAATTGAGGATTGGGGAGAACAGGAGTGGGGAGGTAGTGGGGGGGGGGGGGGTTGAGTCTCACAGCCTCGGGCACACGGGAAGGAAAGCCCAGCAGGGGCTCTTGCCCACCGTGGTACC